TATGATAGTAAAATAAATTAATTATAATTTGATAAATTTTTCTAAAAATAATAAAAAAATGAAAATCAATCACATGGATGTAAGATAATATATGATAATATTTCAAAACTTTTTCTCCAAGAACATAATTTATTATAAATTTAAGACTAAATGTTGAAGATAAAATATATTTAAAAATTTGTGAAAAAGAAAAAAATATGTATAAAAGTCAAAATAGCATTAGCACTCATGATAAATATAATTCTAGTGAAAGTATTTTAAAATATGTCATCAATTATAGATGTTTAATTGATGAAATTAAGATATGTAAAAGTTAGAAGATTTGTAATTGAATAAAGAAGATTTTTGAAACTTGAAATCATATGAAATGTCAATAAATTAAGTAAGTGTTAAATTTAAAATAGTAAAAGTAGAGTTTTGACTTCATAGCAGCAATCGTCAAAATTTTGAGTGTTTGAGAGGATTATTGTTTAATGTCTATAGCCTTAAAGGCTCTCTTTAAATATGGATGATGTGAGAAATCTCTTAATCTTCTTGTAAAGTTTAGTAATCAATGAAATAGGTGAATAAATCATCTCTAACGGTTGTCATCTGATGTAGCAAAAAAATAGTAACTTTTGGATCTCCAATGATTGTCACCCGACAGAGATAAGCTTGATGGAGGTGAGGTGCATTTTAGAAAGTTTCATCCTTAGGTCTGTTGAAAGAAGATAATCTTCCAGATGATAAGTTATTTGTTGATCAATCAAAGATGATTTAATCAATAGATTCATGATCTTTTCATGCATAATCATTCAAATAGTTGATAACAATACTTTGCAAATTATATTGATGATAATTTTATTGTTGATTGAGTGATTCTAATATAAAAATTATGATTTAATCAAATAAAAATATCAATTTTGGCTTTAATGGGATTTAAACCCTCACCAATCTCTTGCATGTATGAGAGAGAGTTTAATAAGTATGTAAATATCCTTGTCAAGTGACATCATAAGGATATCTCATTCTTATAAATCAAGAATAGTTTAGGTATTAAAATGATTAGAAATCTATTAGTGAACAGTGACACAAGCTTAGTCCCACATCAATTATTTTTTGAGTTTTGAGATGAATATATAATAATACCTATGGTCAATATAATCCTTTCATGTGTGTACCACCACTTCTTGTCCCATGCGCGATTAACCACTAGTGATGTGGAATGAGAGTGATGCACATGTGCCCCGTCAATTGTTGTCCCATGCCTGATCACTTGAGCCTCCTACTTGTGGCTCTACTTGATTGTGCTTCTAACCAACTAAATTTTTAATCACTTTTTAATTTAACATAAATATAAATATATTTATCATTGGTTAAGGCTTAAAATATATTAATAATAAATTATTAACTCATGATAATGAATACTTATTATTGAGTTATGGATTAACTTTAGAAGAGAAAAGATAATTTTGATGATTTTTAGACATTGACTTAATTATCTTAAAATTGATGATATTTGATGTGACTTGAATGTACGATTAACATGGTAAATATATTGATGTTTAAATTACTTGGATATTGTTTTGAGGACTAGATTATATGACTTAATTTTTTTCATATTTATGACTTTTATATGAATTGGACATAAAGATAATAAAAAGTATATGCGAGGTAAAGATACAATCATCTCACATGTAAATATTAATATTTAAATTTTTGTATCAAATGGCTTCAACAATATAAAGATGTGAGTAATTAATAAAAGGATCTTTGAATAAGGAATCATGAGAAATAAATTTAGGAGAGAATTATTAAAATGTTGATTTGATTTTATAAGATTGACCTCATATATTTACCAAGGGTAGAATGGTCAATCAACATGACCTTTTATATTGAAGTAATTTTATCTCAAAAAATATGCAACAGATATAAGCATGACAACTCAATGGAAAGCTGTTTCAAATAGGAATTTAGGACTGAAAATCCTTCCAAAATATTCAAAGTATCAAGAGAGTTATGAATTTTTCACTCTTTCTGATTACTATTTTTGTATTTTTCAAGATCCATGTGCTTAAGGCCCATTTTAGCTTGTTGTTTGACCTGATAAGGAGAAAGAGGGGGCAACCCATCCTACCAATAAATAAGATGCTTTGTCTAGATTCGAGGGTAAAAGAAAATATATGATTTCAAGTGACAATTGTTGCTCAAAATACATCTCTTCTTCCCATTCACATGCCTTCACTTTCCAAAGTTCAAGGATGAAATACATCGATTCAAGAAAGCTTCAGATGTCTCTCCAACGACTCAAAAGCTTTCTCCTTCAACCCAACATCTTCAAATATTCTTCAACACCAACAATTTGTGGTGAACACAATAGAATAATTGAAAGTTACGATAAAATTGTTCCTCATTACATTTTGTGATTGTAAACTATTGTGGTGTATTGTGGACTGGTTGAGACACTTGTGGTGTGTTATCAACACAATCACATAGTTTGTTGAAGCACTTGTGGTGTGCTTGTAATGAGGAGGCCTAGGGACTTAGGAACTCTAAGCTTAGAGTTCTAAGTTGGTTGGTCACAAGCTCGTGGAGCTTGAAAATGTAAAAGGTTCTTAATTTCCTTAAAATCAAGTGTGTATTATGAGAAAGAATAGTAGAAACAAAGTGGAGTCCTCAAAAGAGGATGTAGGTCAAAAGAATTGACCAAACCATTGTAAAACCTGTTGTGAATTGTTTTCTATTGGCTTACTTCTTTAAAGATATAAATTATATATTTTTAGAAATAGTAAAAGTCAATTCAACCCCCCCTCCCTCTTGAATTATTCAATCATTTAAGGACCTACACTTATTATACCCCCCAAAAATTTACTTTGCTTCCAACCTCCTTGTAGGGTAGGCTGGTCAGCAAGTCTCTTAATTGTGCTTCCAACTTGCTTGCGGGCTTAATTGCTCAGTGGGTCACCCTTTTTTTTATATTTTATTTATTTTTCCTCATTTTATCTCAAACACATGATTATAATAATTATAAAGATTCTAAATATTATATAAATTTACATAATTAGCTAAAAATTTCACATTAATTAACTAAAAATCACTTTTCTCAATTTAACATACATATAAGTTTATTTATCATGAGTTAAGACTTAAAATTTATTATTAATAAATTATTAACTTATGATAATAAAGACATGCACCCCTCAACTTAAATCATTATTAGTCACTTAGTAATAGAATTACGAAAATTAATTAATATTTTAATATTGAAAAATATAATTAGTGAAAAAGTTATATATATATATTTCTCTTTATTTTATCTCAAAATATGATTATAAAAATTATATAAATTCACATAATTAACAAAAAAGTTATATTAACCAACTAAAAACTAATTTTCTCAATTCAACATAAATATAAGTATATTTTTCATGAGTAAAGGCTTAAAATATATTATTAATAAATGAATAACACATGATAATGTAAACTCATTAATGGGTCCTACTTTTTAGGCGATAAAGAGCTAGTTATAGTCTGTTTGAATGGCCACCTGCTGTAGGATCAAGTTTTTGTAGTGGTTTGTTTGGATTAGAGATTCTTCTATGCTTTTAGCTTTAAGTAATCAGTGTGGAGTGGAAGACTGTCACAATAATCTTGTTGGATGCCAAGGTCATGTGAATTAATCAATTGGAATGAATGATTCGTGACCATGTTCCCTAGTGAATTCAGCGTCTAATGCTGTTCGCGCTGAACTTGCATTACATTGAGTGTGCTATATACGACGTATTGTAGTACAATTGAGATATTCATTCCCCTTCCCCCCTGAAATGACGGGCTGTTTTGGTTTCTTTTTGACCGTTGCTGCGCGCAAAACCAAATTTCTTAGTGTGCAGATGGGGGTGTTTTCAAAAGATAGAATCCCAGCGTGGACAAATGTAAAGGGCAACCATCAGCTGCGACTGTTTCCTCTGGTTTCGGTGGACCAACTTCTGATGACCCTGTGTTGATTTTCGGCCACCTCGCACCACTGTAAGGCCGCAAGGGAAAATGTACCAGAGTGTCTTCTGTCGCCTCTCTTGAACTGTGAACCATAGAAATGGCCATGCACAGTAGCGACTAGTTTTGAACAGCTGCCATGGTGACCTCAAAGTTTTTTGGACGCTAGGAACATAGGACTACTTGCAAAACAGGGCTTGCAGTCTGCGGTCATACAGTCGAGTTCGACCAAGGAAATCTTCCCAGGAATCGTGACCATGCAACTTGAACACTAGACAACAATTTAGATTGAAGTTTCCATCCAATCTATCGAGAGACCAGGGCTTTGAGTTTTCGTCTTCGTAACGGAATGACGTCGATGACGTCTGACCATTGACGACGGAGATATTCTGCTTTTACACCACAACTGCCCCGACGCTGACGTACATTTAGGATTTCTGGCTAATCCAATAAATTTGCCAACTCATGTTTTGAACTGAGGTAAGGTCCCACCGATGCTAATCTGTTGCCCACTGTCGGTGCGTAATCACTGAGACCTCAAAACGGACACATGACCGCCTTATGGAGGGCTACCATTCCCTTTATGCTGTGGATGCAATGTCAAAGGATACCCTCACGCATCAAGGGTAAGGTGGCGTTCCTTTGTGCGATTATAGCGATCAAAAATGGCTGTGAGGCTAGTCTTCGCCGCCGGACTCGCAGGCGGAGGAGGGCCAAAACGTCCAGAAATACAGCGACAGATTTCTGCCACCGGCATGGATAGTTGAGTTTGGCTCTAAAACTTGCAGCCGTGGGTTATGTTTCCGCACCGCTTTGATTGGAGATGCCAGCTTCCGAACTGCCACCCTGATCAACAGGGTTCCAATTGCTGGCGACTTAATGGTCGGATTTGGGGTGCACTCCCCTCGGAGGTGTCTATAAAAACGTCCGAAGTGTTTTTGTAATGTCTCAGGCATTCCCTCTCCTGCTCCATTGTCAAACTCGAACCAAATCAACCACACGTCTTGACTTCTTCCTTTTCCGGTACCATGGCCACGAAGACTCAAGCCACGGCAGCATTCCTCCTTTTGAATTTACTGTTCTGCACATTCGCCTCTGCGCAACTGGTCACCACTGTCACCCAATGCCTAAGCCAAACCGTCGAACTAGGCGTCTGTGGTGTTGTGCTCAACCTCATCAAAATCGACGGACTCACCGGGCCCCTCAACACAACCTGTTGCAATCTGTTCTCGGCTCTCACGAGTCAGCAGGCGTCCAGTTGCCTCTGCATTGCGATAAAGCTTGGCTTCCTTGGCCTCAACGTTACCATTCCCGGTGACATCGGTATTCTGCTGACTTACTGCGGCAAGCAAGTGCCTCTCCTGACTTGTTCATAATCTACAGCAGAACACTCAGTGCCGGAGAAGATCCCCCTTCATCCTTGGCCGCCCTATGGAGTATTCCTACTGTGGTTTCGCTGTGGTCTACGCTTGTTTTCACCCACCAGTAATGTAGCTTGAGCTGTATGGGGACGGGAGAGACCCTGTTCGCCTCTTTTCAGGTCCCACCCGCAAGAACATAACTGTGATCGTAATAAATATGTTTCCGTTGTGATGCGTCTGAAATGGTGTCCCGCGTGAACGGCTGTCGTTTGTCGGGCTTCAGTCAGGTTATTCCCTTTAAACTATGGCTTAATGCGGTTTAGATGATACCCTCGAAACCGTCAGAGGACAGATCTGCCGCCTTTGCACTCTTATCCCAATGCAGTCTAATGACATGCGACGGAGTAGCTCTTCATACGAGTTGGCTGAGGTCCACTACACGAGCTTCATGATGAACTTTACGGAAAGGCACCTCCAAATGCGAGCGTGGGTTGCGTAGTCCTGTGGTGGAATTCGTCGTACGTGCGTAGGCCATTTGCATGGGTTGTGGGACTGCAAAATTAAGTTACTCGCCGCATTTGAGTGGTAACCGCTCTAGAAACATAAGCCGCGAGCTGGACTGTAGCTCTCTCCGGTTGACTGGCCCGGGTATGGAAATGAACTGAAGAAATGACGTTCATCACATTCGTCGTGTTCTCAATCTTAAGAGGAAAGGCACTGAAACGTCGTCCGGATCTTAAAACCGTCCATCGAATGGAGTGGTTGAACTGAAATGGACAGTCCCACTTGACCTCTGGTAGAAGGTTTTGTCCGTGGATGCACGGATACGCGGAAATATGGCCAAAGGGATTTACACCCTCTAACCATTGTTTTCGACAGCGACGAACCGGCGTCATATTAAATGCCGCAACTCGCGATGGTCAATGATCACTAGTTTCTCTTCTTTTGCAGATATTCTACGCTCGTGCGAAAGGAATTTCCACGCTGCCCATGGGGCGAACTCAGCTGTCACAGAGACGGAAAGCTTGTCCAAGAGCCTGTCCATAAGCCTGGTCGTATTTTGCGAAGCAAGCACGGGCACGACCAACACTGTAGAAGATATCCAGATCAGAATTACAGACGACGTAGTAACGTGAACCCATGCATCTTTCGGCGGTCTGGCGTAAAGTATGGATCTGCCGGCGACTTGAGGAAAGCTATTACATAGTCTCTGGTATAGGAACTGATGAAGAAAAAAGTTTCAAATTACAGAAAAGGGATGTAGGGAGCTTCGGCTTTCGTGGTTTGGTGTTTTGGGTTGTGTATTTAAGTTTTCAGGATTAAGAGTTGAAAATATTCCGGTACATGGTTAGGTACCCAAGCTTCTTTCAGTGTTGTGCGCACGCATATGTTCATCGCTAATCGTCCTTCAAATAACTCCGGGGGCAAAAGGGCACGCCAACATCACCAATGGGAAACATGATCAAATGTGAAGGACCCGAATGAGTTGAGGTGGCTGTTGACTAGGACGTTGATGGGAAACATGATCTTCGCCATTACTGATAAATTTAAAATGAGCTGGACATTTTGAGCGCAGAAAATCAAGTCACTAGAAGACCGATTGGTCAAAGCTGACATATGATAAGAAGAATATGAAGGTAATGATGGCAACCTGGACTGTTGAAGACGATTTTTCATGCGAACCAGAGGAAGAAAATAAAAGAAGCATTTCATGAATTAAAAGACATCTGTTTATGAACATTAAAATAATTGCATGAATTCCTTGATGATATGCTGGTGCATTAGACTTCGTTAAATATGAACTGAAAAGTCCGAAAGAAAAGCAGTGTTCTAAAGAAAACCTGTTGAAAAAATAAATCATAAATTGATGATCCTTCGGACAAAACTGTGGAACTTTAAACTCAATTTGATAACATTAAAAAATAATTTGATGACCTTCTGTCCGCATGGATTCAACATATGATTATGCCCTCGCCATCCGACATCCATTTGGTTGAGTATACTATATATGATGTATTGTACCATTCCCCTCCCTCGAGTAATCATTGGTTGTCTTGTTTTCTTTTTGACAGCCCGTACGCGCAAAACCAAATTTCTCAGCGCGCGGATGAGATAGTCTCAAAAAGTTAGAATGTCAGCGTACATCAGTGTAAACAGCAACCATGAACTGCAATGCTTTGCTCTGGTCTTGGTGGACCTACCTTTGATGACCCTGTGTTTTAGACGTGAGGATCGTGCGACTATATGCAAAACAGAGTGCGGTATCTACGGTTACAGAGTCGAGTTGCACCAGGGAAATCTTCTCAGGAATGGTGCCCATAGAACTGGAACACTAGCCAAAATTTAGATTGAAGTCTCCATCCAATCTATAAGAGACAATGGCTTTAAGTTTTCAGCTTTGTGAGACAATGAGCTCGACGGAGCGTTGCCGATAGCTTATGACTATTTAGGACGAAGATATTCTGTGCTTACATCATAACTGCCCCGAGGTTGACGCTCATTTTGGATGTCTGGCTAATCCACTGTCTTTTCAACTGAGGAAAGGTCGCAGCCTCCCCCATCCGATATCCACTATCGGACGGCAATCAATGACCGGCGAACGGACACATGAACGCCTTGTGGAGGGCTACCATTCTCTGCTAACGCGTGGATGCAATGTCAAAGGACTTTCTCATGCGCCGCGGCTAACTTTCGCCGCCTCAGTTGCAGGCAGAGAGCAGAAAAAACGTGGAAGACAACGACAGATTTCTGCCACCAGCACGGATAAAACTTGCAATGCGTTAAGATTTCCGCATCGCTCTAATTAGAGCCGCCAGGTTCCGAACTGCCACCCCTATCGACAGGCTTCCAATCGCTGGTTGATTGGGACTGCAATTGATGGGAATAAAAATAGGGAAAGGCTGACGAGTATAAATTCTAGCAGATAATTCCACATAATTAAAGATAAAATCAATATATTTTGAATTATCTAGATAAATCACTTGCAATTGAAAACGAGAAGGATCCGCCAGTGGAGAAAACCGCTGAGAGGATGCCCTTATTGTTATCATGTCAGAAAATTATTCTTATCACGGTTTATGATCGACTGAATAGAATTAACTGGCTATCCTATGATCACTCGAGCGACATCGAGCAAGAAAACATATTAAATGCACAAATTAATGAAGAGGTAGAAGAGATTACTATTATTATGGAAGACCAAAGATTCGTTGGCGATATTGTGGGATAATCAGCAGATTCTTTGGAGACGGCGGTCACGGAGATGCTGGGGATGGCCCGACCTGCTGGGACCTCGAACAAAGCTCTTGCGAGGTAGTAGACAATGGTCGATACGATATCGACGGGAAAAGTTTTGGGTTTCGTTTGATAGGTGGATGGGTGTGAAGAGAGAGGGGTTAATAAGGTGGTGATAATGAGAAAGAAGAAGAGAATTGAGAATAAATATTCCAGACCGAGAATAATGGGGTCCTCACGACCACCCAAAGCCAGGGCGATGGAATCGAAAAATAAACACTCATTGTAACCTTCACTATCCTCCGCTGAGTCTCATGTCTCTCTTATAAATTTCAGCAAAAACCTTAAACTTAGCTATTAATAAAGATAATCGCTCTTTTTAGAGTGTTTATGATGCCGTTGAGGACGAGAGACGCGTTGAAACCATTCTTCCGATGATGTAGCTAATTCGTTGCTGTTCTCTTCACTGTCCCGTTCTGAAGGAGGGCATTGAGGGCAACGATCACGTTCAGTCTCTTCAATACTTCCCTCGCTCTCATGCAGCTGCTGTGGCGGCATCTGCTGACCTGGCGGAAGGTGATTCAATGCTGCATCGACACTCCCCTCGGAGGTGTCTATAGAAACGTCCCAAGCTTTTTTGTATATCCCACGCATTCCCTCTCCTACTGCATTCTCAAACTCGAACCAAATCAACCACACATCTTGGCTTATTCCTTTTCCAGTACCATGGCCACGAAGACTCAAGCCATGGCTGGACTCCTCCTTTTGAGTTTACTGTTCTGTATATTCACCTCTGGGCAACTGGTCACCACTGTTACCCAATGCCTCCTGTGAAGGAGCTGCTCTGGCTCCGCCGCCGCTCTTCTGTCGCCGGCGAACTCATTTGCCGGAACAGAACTTTGTTTTTGTTTTCCAGTCCGTTACGCACCCTCTATATAAAGGGGCACAAGGTGTTCGACGAATACATGCTATTTCTTTGAAATACAAATACATTCTGTGCATTCTTTCTCATTATCTTCGGTATTCTTCTTCTATTTCCGGAAGTTCTTGAAGCAGTTTCAAGCTTTCCAAAGTCAACAAGTGGTATCAGAGCCACTCGGTCGAGGGAGGAAGAAGATGTCGAAGAAAGGAGGTGAGGCGAGCACTTCTGGCGAGCGTGGGATGGAGATGGTGTCGCCGGCGCCATCTCTCATGCTGTCGAAGATTAATTATCGTGTCTGGGCGATGCTGATTAAGGCATTCCTTGATTCTCACGAATTGTGGCAAGCAATTGTAGGTGAGAATATCCCGAAGAAGAAAGATCGCTTGGCTCTATCCACGATCTTCAGAGTAGTTCTGGAGGAGACGATGTTAATTCTTGACACAAAGAAGATGACGAAGGAGAATTGAGAGATTCTCAAGTCTCAAAATCTTGGTGTGGATTGAGTTATTCAATCAAGAATTCGGGATTGAAGCGTGAGTATGAAATTCTCACGATGCAGAAGGATGAAGCCGTGGTGGATTTTGCGACGAAATTCATTGGAATCATCTCAGAGCTTTGGAACCTAGCTGAGAAGATGGAAGAAAAAGAGGTGGTGCGGCGATTTCTGAGGGCGACGCCTTCAAAATTCGATGCTCCCACCTTGTCTTTGGAACAATATGGCGATTTGGATAAAATCAGCCTTGACGAGACCATTGTTCACTGAGCGTCCATGAGCTGCGACTCAAGGAGCATGAATCAAGAGAGGAGGAACAAGCTTTATTGGCCAGAACACTGAGCAAATCGAAGATCTCGATTGAGGAGGAGTCCTCATCTCGTGAAAGAGGTAGACACCGCGGCTGAGGTAGAGGTAGAAGCCGTGGACAAGGGCGAAATTAGTCGAATGAAGAAGGAAAGAAACATTTCGATAAATCTCAGGTAAAATGTTATAATTGTGAGAAGTTTGGGCATTTTGTCTATGAATGCTGCAGCGAGAAAAAGAAGTCAGACAATTGAACATATGTGGCTGAGTCTTCTGACAAGGAGGAATCCTCGCTTCTGATGACATTTACAATGAACATGGCGGTTTACTACTCCAAACCTTTGAGAGTGAGCTCTTTGATCCCGATTTCTAGTATCTTGATATTGGAGCTACTAATCATACGTCTGGTTGTCGGACTTTCTTCACTGAGTTGGATGAGACAACATCCGGGGTGGTCAAATTTGGAGACAATTCGAAGGTCCGAATTGAAGGCTGAGGTAGTCTCTTGGCCAACAAGAAGGATGACAGTGTGCTTCGGCTCACTGATGTCCTATTTGTCCCTCAATTAAAGGCCAATATTCTCAGTTTGGGTCGTCTGGATGAAGAAGGCTGCCGGATGACAATGTATGGGGTAAGTTGACTATTTTTGACCGACATGGCAAACTCTTTACTGAAGTCCAACGATCGGAATGCATGGTCTACTTACTGAGGCTAAGTGTAGTAGATTACTATCTGATTACTACAAATACAAAGAGTGAGTATTGATTGTGACATGCTCGTTTTGGCCACTTGAATTTTTACTCTTTGAAGGAAATGTCGAGCAAGCATCTGGTGCAGGGACTTCCTTAAATCAGGCTGCCTACTCAAGTCTGCAGAAGCTGTGTAGCAGGCAAACAACACCGAGCTCCATTTCCTAAAGCCTCCACATTTTGAGCCTCACAACCACTAGAACTTGTATATGCTGATATTTACAGACCCATTACTCCACCCACATTAGGAGGGAGCTAGTATTTTTTTTTATTAATCATTGATGATTATTCGAGATTAATGTGGGTGGCTTTGCTAAAAGAAAAATTGGATACTTTCACTGAATTCAAGAAATTCAAAGCATTAGCAGAGGCTGAGAAAGACACGAAGATCAAGTATTTTCGCTTAGACAAGGGAGTTGAGTTTACATCTAATGAATTTATTGAGTTTTATGCTTCACAAGGCATCAAGAGACACTTGACTGCCCGCTACTCACCTCAACAAAACGGCATAGTGGAGAGAAAGAATCAGACTGTGATGTCCACGGTCCGAAGCATGTTGAAAGAGAAGAAGTTGCCCTAAGAATTATGGGGAGAGGTACTGAACACTTTTGTTTACATTCTAAATCGCTCATCCCCAAAAAGTCTGCAAGGTATGACCCCCCTATGAGAAGTGGACAGGTAGAAAGCCACATATTGACCATTTACTGATTTTCGGGTCAATTGTGAAGTGTAAAGAACACTAAAGGCCCATAGAAGAAGCTTGACGATAGAAGTAGCCCCATGGTGCTTATTGGATATGAAGTAGGTACTAAAGCCTACAGATGTTATAATCTAGTCAACAGCAAAGTCAACATCAGTAGGGATGTTCTCTTTGAAGAAGAAAGTAAGTGGGACTGGTAGAAGAAAGGTAAAAAAGCCACTAATTTTACTTTCTTACCTGATTTTCTATCTGATCAGGTCGTGGAGGAAGTCTCTGATTCCGAGATTAATGAAGTGGAGACATTCGAACCTCAGGAGGAGATTTTTGCTTCTCAGACTGAGTCTGAAGACAATTAAGCTCCGAAATATATGTCACTCACTCATATCTACTCGAAGACAAACCCGATGTGGATGAAGATTATTTTCTCACTTGTGAAGAACCAAACTCTTATACAGATGCCTCTCAAGAGGAAGTATGGAGGAGAGCTATGAAGGAAGAAATGGAGGCTATTGATCGAAGTCAAACATGGGAGCTAGTAGCACCCCCGGCTGATTGCAAGTCAATTTAAATAGATATTCAAGCTCAAAAGGAGTGCACAAGGTGAAGTTGTGAGGCACAAAGCCAGACTGGTTGTGAAGGGCTATTCACAAAGGCAAACTCAAAGGAGATGGACTTTACATCATCTTGATGTTAAGTCAGCCTTCCTAAAGGGGGAAGAAGAGAAACCTATGAAATTACTCGTGGACAATCAGTCCGTGATTATCCTAAGCAAAAATCCAGTTCAACACAATCATATAAAGCACATCGATACAAGGTATCATTTCACACATCTGTGTTGAAGAACAGAAGCTTGAGGTTTCCTACGTGAAGACGGAGGACCAGATGGCGGACATACTGACTAAGACGTTGGGAAGATTGAAATTCTTGGAGATGCGACGACATCTGGGTGTGCGAAATCTTCGTACAGAGGAGCAAGAGCAAGGAGGAGATTGAAGGAGCTGCTCGGTTCCGCCGCCGCTCTTCCGTCGCCGGCAAACTCATTCGCCGGAGCAGAACTTTGTTTTTGTTTTTCAGTCCATTACTCACCCTCTCTCTCCTTCTCTTATTGGTTCCCCTATATAAAGGGGCGCAAGGTGTTCGACGAATACATGCTTGCTATTTTTTTGAAATACATTCTGTGCATTCTTTCTCATTCTCTTCGGTGTTCTTGATTCTTCCATTTCTGGAAGTTCTTGAACCAGTTTCAAGCTTTCCGAAGTCAACATCCTGCACACCGTGGAACTAGGCGTCTGTGGCGTTGTGCTCAACCTCATCAAAATCGACGGACTCACCGGGCCCCTCAACACAACCTGTTGCAATCTGTTCTCGGCTCTCACGAGTCAGCAGGCGTCCAGTTGCCTCTGCATTGCGATAAAGCTTGGCTTCCTTGGCCTCAACGTTACCATTCCCGGTGACATCGGTATTCTGCTGACTTACTGCGGCAAGCAAGTGCCTCTCCTGACTTGTTCATAATCTACAGCAGAACACTCAGTGCCGGAGAAGATCCCCCTTCATCCTTGGCCGCCCTATGGAGTATTCCTACTGTGGTTTCGCTGTGGTCTACGCTTGTTTTCACCCACCAGTAATGTAGCTTGAGCTGTATGGGGACGGGAGAGACCCTGTTCGCCTCTTTTCAGGTCCCACCCGCAAGAGCATAACTGTGATCGTAATAAATATGTTTCCGTTGTGATGCGTCTGAAATGGTGTCCCGCGTGAACGGCTGTCGTTTGTCGGGCTTCAGTCAGGTTATTCCCTTTAAACTATGGCTTAATGCGGTTTAGATGATACCCTCGAAACCGTCAGAGGACAGATCTGCCGCCTTTGCACTCTTATCCCAATGCAGTCTAATGACATGCGACGGGGTAGCTCTTCATACGAATTTTGCTGAGGTCCATTACACGAGCTCCGTGATGCATTTTACCGACAGGCGCCTACAAATGCGTAGTCCGTCGTGGAACGCGTCGCGGGTTGCGTAGTCTCGTCGTGGAATGCGTCGCACGTGCGTAGGCTGTTTGCATGGGTTTCGGGACTGCAAAATTAAGTTACGCGCCGCACTTGAGTGGTAACCGCTCATTAGCCGTGAGCCGGACGGTAGCTCTCTACGGTTCACTGGGTTTGGAAATGAACCAGACAAATGACCTTCATCACATTCGCCTTGTTCTGTCTGTCTTAAGAGGAAAGGCACTGAAGCGTCGTTCTCATCTTAAGACCGTCCATCGAATGCAGCGTTTGAAGTGATATGCACAGTCTCACTTGACATATAAGTACAAGGTTTTTTCCGTGGATGCACGGACACGCGGAAATGTGGGCCGAGGGATTTACTCCCACTAACGACTGTTTTTTGACGGGGACGAACTGGCCTAGTTAGGACAAAGGGCGATTATAGTTGTTCCAAGCTGGGGACGAGCATCCCTTGCGGTTCCAAGGAAGGCTTGACGACCTGAGTCAACAACGACTATCTAGGGCTAGTTTATCAACTCGGATATACAAAAACTGTTGGGACACATCGGCAAGGCCAAATACTTGTGGCCCAGATGCCGCGGAGACATGAAGTCTATATAGAGGTAGTGACTGCTTCCGTTTGATTTTAACTTCATTCCTCGTTTTGTCAACGAATCCTAATTTGTAGGAGATAAATACCTAGTAGTAGCCTATTTAAACGCCCACCTGCTGTTTGATCCAGTTTTCCCAGTAGTATTAGAATGTTCGTTGGCTCTGATTCTTCTCTGCTAGTCAGTTTATGTAATCATTATGGAATGAAGAGCCGCCGCTCTTATCCTGGTGGATTCGGAGGTCGTGATAGTCTTCCAATTGGGATTAATGATTGATAACCTTGTTTCATTGTGAATTCAATCTGTGATTCTATTCGTCCCCAAACTCTATTGCGTTAGGTGTACTATATATCATGTATTGCAGCACAGGTTAAGTAGTCAATCCCCCTCCCTCCTAGAATCATGGGCTGTTTTGGTCTCTTCTTCACTGTTGCTACAGGTAAAGCCAAATTTCTCAGCGTGCAGATGAGATGCTATGAAGGGATAGAATGTCGGCGTGTATCAACCCAAAGGGCAACCATCAGGTGCAATGCTTTCCTCTTGTCTCGGTGGACCAACTTAGAACCCTGTGTTGATTTTTGGCCATCTCGCAGCACCGGCTGAAATGGAAATGTACCTGTCTACTGTCGCCGTTGTTGAACTATGAACAGTAGTAGTTTCCCGACACATTAGCGAAGAGTTTTTAACTGTTGCGTTAGTGACCGGAAATTTTTTTAGACTCGGGGAATGTATGACTATTAGCAAAATAGAGTATGGAGAGTTTGGCTTAGTAAATTGTCTCAGGAATCGTGCCCGTAGAACTTAAACAAGTGACCACCATTGGATTGTGAAGTCTATGTCCGGTCTAACAAGAGACCAGGGCTTTGAGTTTGCGAATACATAAGACATTGACCGCAATGGAGTCCCGGCGTGAAGAGTTTGACTACTCCCAAAGGGAATATTCCGCTGATTGCATCACAACTGCCCTGAGGTTGACGTATATTCAGGATTTCTATCTTATCCACTGCAACCCCCATCCGACGCTCATTATCGCACCTTAATTAATGACCTCAGAGAGAGATGTGAACAACTTGTGGATGACTATTTATCAGATTATCAGTGATGACCATTTATTAGATTACCAGTCATGAAGAGTTATCTGAAGTACATTTATTATATCAGTGATGACGATGCCAGCGAACCTAAGTTTTGCCGCGATATTCGCACCCGGAAGGCTAAAACGTCGCTGAATGGAGTGCAAAATTACTGCCGCCAATTCCAAGAGTTTAATTTTCTTTTAATGCTCCTTTTCATAAGCTATATTTCGTCACCCCATTAATTAGAGCTGCCACGCTCCGAACTTCAACACTTGGACACGGTGCGTCAGCAAGGTGGAGTGCACAGACCTCGTGGCATTGCGTGAAAGATTTCTTCCATCGGTAGTAAGAAGAAGTCAAGAATTCATCCAAGACTTACAGTCATAAGCTTTGTTCTCTTCACCCCATTCATTGGAGCTGCAAGGTTCCGAATTGCCACCCTTATCAACAGGCTTCGAGTTTCCGGTGGCTGAACGGTCGGATTTGGACTACCAAAGGCACCTCGGGGGTTTCCATAGAACGTCCCAAACGCACTTGTAATATCCTAGGAATTCTCCCTTGTCCTCCTTTCTCAAAAACGAACCGAATCAACGACACATCTTCACTTCTTCCCTTTCTGCTACCATGGCAACGAAGACTTACGCCGCAGTAGCATTCCTCTGTTTCAAATTTTGCCCTGCTAGCAGCCCATCATGTTCTCTCCACATGTTGATGTTCAGTGGTTACTTCTGGATCAGAGTAGTCATAGTCATTCGTATTATCATACTAAGGGTATGGGCTTGAGTTAGCAGGTGAGAGATCTCTAAATCTGGTTTGTGTGAGGTGGAACTGTTGTATTCAGCAGGAGGTTGACTAAAGACTAGGATAAATTTTTAAAATTTGAAAATTTCCTCAAAGTCATGTTGTTTGACCATTGATTGTATTTTTCCATTTGCTCTACCATGGCTTGAAAATTATGATATGATTCTATAGGTGGAGACCGAGAAAATTAGACATTAGAATGATAAAACATGGTTGGCATGACAGGAACTATCTGATTGATCCGTAAGAAACTAGGATGATCCATCCAACTCTAACTGTATTTGTTTGGCAAGTAGTAGTAATCAAATTGAAGGAACGTGAGGTAGGTCCATGGGCATGAGATGTTTGAGGGATTTTATGATTGCTCCCAATGATGTTAAATTGATCTCTCCAACCTAGGTCATACTTTTTTGACAAAGAATTATACCTAGAGTTGAAGAAATTCTAATTTGTGCACCTTGGTTCATTGAATTTCGAGGGAGGAAATTGAAAAGTATTAGAATATTCATTGAAACTCTTAGGAAAGCTAAAATTTCCAATATGAATGGGGATTGGTTACTTACTAGTTAAGAATTACTCATTGAATTCTGCCCATAGACTTGCAAAACTTCATCTAATTTCTGAATCCTATAATCTATTTTATCACTACCTTCATCAAATTTATCTCTTACAAGGTGGGTCTTTTCATAAACATTATTATCCTCATATATGTTCCCCATCCGATTATATTGATTTTCCAATCCAAGATTAGACATTTGATTGTAAGAAATATAATCAAACAACAAAGATTATGACTAATAAGGTCTAGAATAGTTATACATTTTTCTTCACTAGTCATTCGTACCTGCAGGATCTAACCTCTAGTTAGGAATGGAGAGCACTAGAAAATTTCATTTGGACTTTTGGAGCTGGTTCTACTAGCTCTTGATCACAAAGATTTCTACTATGCATGAACCGCAGGTAAGTTGAAGGAATAGATTATAATGAAATCTACATACTAAAAGACTAACATCTTTTCTTAAATGTAATTGTTTTAATAGAGGTAGTACTGATACTACTCTATTTACTCAAGAAAATGGCCAGCATATGCTCTTTAATCTTCTTGAAAAGGCTTATGTATCAAGTTTTAAGAGATAATGAAGAAAGACTTTGAGATGAATATGATGGGTGAACTTAATTATATTACCAAATTATAAATCAAAAGGTTAAAGGATAGGATAGTCATCTCTCAACTAAAATATGCTAGAATTTTTTTAAATAAATATGAATTCACTAGCATAAAAGATAAACAATTTCATGGACAATAAGATCAAAATTGGTATGGATATTAATAAAACATCTATTGATCAGAAAATTTATAGAGGCAGGAGAAGCTTACTATTATATTTGGCAACAAGTAAACTCGACATTATTCTCCTTGTGCATCTATGAACTAGATTTCAAAGTGATCCCGAGGAATCACATTTAACAGCTGTTAATATTCAAATATATCATATGCATAGCTGATTTGGAGATAGTTTTTGAAATAGTCTGACATGAGTTTAATGATATCGATCACTATGATTTTACTTAAATCATAATGGATAATTTTTTTTCAGTGGATCTTTCATGATCTTAGGAAGACATCATGTTTCATAGGTATCTAATAAACATGTCATGATTGCTTAATCAATGTTGATACTGAATACATAGTCACAGGTTTATGTTGCATAAAAGCATTTAAGTTAAGTCCAAGAAAGATAATAAGATTATAAAAAATGTCCACAATGTGTGACAACATGAGTGCCACTAGCTTAGCCAAAAAAATTCATCATTTACTCCCTTAGGTGATTAAACAAGTTTTAATCATAAATTTGTCCCACAGAGGATATGATGGATTTCACCATGAGTATATTTTCAAAAATAATGTTGACTAAAACTGCATGAGAGATTTAGATGTAGAGGATGAAGCTTGCAGTTTGATTCCTATTGTTCTCTCCATGTAAGGATGCCAATAGATGATAGAAGAAGCTGCTGATGCACACTAATCATTATAGCTTAAATAGTGCACTCAAATTTAAATTTATAATTATAAAGTTTAAATATAATTATGAAATATTGGATGAACCTAAGTCAAATGTACAATTTAAAAATGGACAAGGTAAAGTAATTCACAGAATAATCAAATTGAAATTATCTAAGGAAAAATGATTTCTTTAAGAATTAAAAAATATTTTAAAATAAAAATTAGTTAAAATTAGAAGATAGGGTTCAAGAGGATGTCTTCTCTATTTTTTGCAAGTCAAGGAGGCCATGCCAAATCCGTTAAGGTGCAAAGAGACTCCTTTGTACTGGAGAGAGAGAGAGAATAAATAGAGAAGAGAGAGAAGGGAAATGGAGAAAGATGTGACGGGAGAAGAGGGGAGAGATGACCATTCCAAGGGAGTTGACTGGTCAAAGATGACAAATAAGAGAGAGAGGAAGAGATAGGTGAAAAAAAGAAAAATCACGATCAAATGAGAGTTCTTGTTCATGGAAGGGAGGGAGGCTTTGCCAGCGGGAGAGATTTCTGTTAAAAGGAAAAGAGAAATCAACAAGAAAAACAAAAATTGATTAAAATGAGAAGATAAGGGAGAAAAGAAGAAATGGGAGAGGAGAAAAAACTCTTAGAGAACTCTTCATCACTTGGAAGAATTCGCTTAGAGTTGACAAGTTCCACCTTAGACATAGCCATCAAATCATCTATACATAATTCTACGATTTCAAATTTATCAAAATATATTTCCATGCATGTTGTTATCATGAAAGCAACTTTGGGTCTCAAAGCACTCACTTTGATTGTAAGAAACTAGTCAACTTTCAAAGTGATAATCCAAGCTTGAAGAAGAAAGTATCCACATGGAATAATACATAAATGATTGCAACATAGAATGATGAGAAATCAAGCTCCAACAAAGAATATGCCAAACACTTCAAAACATCACAAATTCCTGATAAACACTCCTCATCTGACTCTCAATTAATTAAAGATGAGATATTATATGTTTTTGATAAATTGATGGCTACATATAAAAACTCAAAAATGGATCTTAAAAAAATTAATAAAGAATTGGTAGATTCTAAAGAGGAGATATTTGAACTAAAGTAAAAAAAATAAAAATCAACTATAGAAGTAGTTGTGAAAAATATAAAAATGTTATATGCATGCACGCTTGAAACTGAGCTGTCTAGACTGAATTCATATTTTCTCAAATTATATGGAACTCATAAGAAGGTAATTGTTCTATTAGAAAGTCAAAATCTCACTTAAAATCTTATCTATAGGAAAACTCAAGTTCAGACTTCAATGGAAGGAAAAAATTTATATGAGCAACCAAAAAAGAACTTCAAACAACCCAGCCCAAAGACATCTGGGTTCCTAAATCTAAAACTTAAATCTCTTTCAAGAAGATCTCTGTTGGACCACTTTCAAGTTGTAGTTGAATAAAATTTTTTCATGGCATATGATTATATAAAATAAGTTACTTTCTTTGTTCAGCTCAACAAATGAAGTGGTCACCTTTGAAGACAACAAAAGGGAAGAGTCATATAGTATGAAAATATCAAGATCTTTGATCTTTTCTTAATTAAGAATATTTTATGTGTAGAAGGAATATAGCATCATTTGATTAACACTAGTCAATTATTTGACATCAATATAAAAAAGTACAGTTTAAACACAATTTTTGTGTTTTTATTGGAATAATTGAAAAATGATTGCTAATGTTAATCCATCCAGCAAGTAGTGAAAAGTGCCTAACACTTACTTTATATGTATTACCATTTTTCTCTGTGTTGAAATAAATTTTCCTTAGTAATATCCAACCTTTTTTTTACTATAAATTAATTTCATGAAATGAAAATAATAATAAATAAATAAATAAAATATGACACATGGGACGTTGTTATTCTGTTAAATAATTACAATTTGATAGCATAACGACTGAAGGTATGTTTTTTTTTTATGTAACCTAAAACATTAAATTTTGAGCAAGCTTCTTGTTAGACATTCTTAAAATGAAAACCAAGTGGAATGACGAACAACTCAATCAAGAATGTCATAGAAGCCTTTTACCGAAAACGACCCCTAACATATTAGGATCCAAAGCGTTATAGAAAGGGGGGAATGTGAGAAGCTTGGTATTATGGGCGTAAATGCTGGTGCACAGTTAGTTTCTCTTTGTTCGGCAAACTTGGCTATCCATAGTACTAAAAAATGGATAAAAATCAGTTCGTCGAAAAACTGAGGGATTCTACACTTCTCTGCAGGTGCCCAAGAAACACATCAGGAAAGAACCGACATCATAAACGATCACAACCTCTTCTATCAGACGTTTACTGCTGCGCACACTGTACTCTCTGGGCACCACCACCGGATCCACCGTCGTCTTCCTCGTAAGCTTCCTGAGCCTGCTGTTGCTGCTGCTTCCTCCGCATCTCTTCCTCGATGTTCACGTTGTGCAGAGTAGTCTCCTCGCACTCATCCAGTTCCATATCCGTGAGTAGCGCAGATGACTTGGGGTATGGCATAATGGCTTCGAAGGCCTTGCTCTGCTCCGAGGTCAAGAAGTCTGGGAAGTCTACTGTGAAGTGGATGTACAGCTTGCCCCTCATGAAAGGCCGCTGGTAAAGGGGCATACCCTCCTCGTTTATTGCCTTGAATTGGCCTGCAGTGGAACGAATCAGGACCAGGTCCCAAACAGGCAAATGCCAGGAGAGAGCTTCACCGACTGACTAGCGGAGAGGAGGCGCTTACCAGGCTTGATGACCTCCCCAGGGTTGGACTTGATGAGCAACTGTCTGCCGTCCAAGTGTGTCAAGACCTGCTGGAAGCCGCAGAGCGCCTCCGCCAAGGAAAGTGTATGTTCGACGAAGAGGTCGTCTCCCTTCCTCCTAAACTTGGGGTGCTCCTTCTGCTGGAGGACAAATACGATGTCGCCGGTGACGGTGTCAGGCTGCAAAATGAAAGTCAGAGAGTTCCGCGGTTAGCTTCCGAGGGATCGAGCGCAGAAGTGATTTGTACGTAGCTGCTTCTGCCATACCGCCTCGTCTGCTTCTCCCGCAAAGGTGATCTTCTGGCCGTGTTGCATCCCTTTCTCCACGTGAACTTCGAGCACCTTCTTCTCTTGCACGACTTTGTCACCCTTGCAATTCGGGCATCTATCCTTTTCGCTGATCGTCTCCCCGGTTCCCCTGCACTCACTGCAAGGTTGCTGCATCTGCTGGATCATGCCCGGGCCCAACTGGCGAACCGTGACCTTCACTCCCGAGCCCTGACAACCAGCGCACCTCCCGGAAGCGCCAGACTTCGACCCTTTCCTGGTTTTCAGAAAGAGAGAACGATGAGCACCGAGCTTCGGCATGAGGTCATGCTGCCGTGAGGGAGGAATGATGAAGAGATCCAACACTCATCTTCTTACCCCTTGCATTTAGGACATAGAACATTGCGTGAGAGCGATAGCCTCTTCGACATCCCGCTGTAGAGATCCTCCAGAGAGACTTTGAGGGGATGGATAACATCGTCCCCTCTCCTCTGTCTTCGCCCGCGGCTGCTACCACCACCTAGCAAAACAGACGGCACGGCGCAGCGCTGGGTTAAGAATTCCCCTGAATGAAGACTCGAGAATCAGACTCCAGGTGAGGGAGGTATCCCCAACCTCCAAAGGGACTGCCGCCAAAGAAAGATTGGAAGATGTCGAAGGGGTCGCCCTGTCCTCCGCCACCACCCATTCCTTCCTTGATCGCGTCCTCTCCATACTGATCGTATATCTCACGCTTTTCCGGGTCACTCAAGACCTCGTAGGACTGAGCCAACTCCTTGAACTGCGCGGAAAACAGAGGACCGACAGCATCAGCGTGGTCCAGCCTAAGTAATTTATGGAATTCAGTGGCCCCTGCGACCAACGCGACGAGGGAAAAAACCGATGGTACGGAGACTACAATCAAGAAGGATAAAAATCAAATCAACAAATTTCGCACCGCCGAGGATTGGGAGAGAAGCATCGTAGAGGAATAGAGAACCACCCAGATAACGGCAAGCGGAAGGTCTAGCCATTACTAATATAACAGGACAACACGATCAGGTCCCCAAAACACACATCCTCATTGGCGGGGATACGATACTCGAACGAGTCAAATCTACGAAAGATCAGATAAATGATGGCTTGATCGGGGGTGGAGAAGAAGATCAGAGAGGGAACCACCCTAGCTCCTACCTTCTCCGGGTCGCCACCCTTGTCGGGATGGTTCTTGATGGCTGCCTTACGGTAGGCTTTCTTCAGGTCCTCCTGGGATGCATTCTTCGACACTCCCAGGATCTCGTAGTACCGCGTATTGTCGCTCTTCCTCGGCGCCCTCCCGAACATCTTATCCACTTCTACACCTCCTCGCCGGAGAAGAAGTCTCGCCGGAAAACGTTGCCGCCGGCGTTCCCCCGCCCAGTATATATACTGTTGGCGTGAAGAAAAACTATTACGTGGACAGTGGAGATTGGGCGACTATCTTCGAAATGAAGGGTCTAGAAGTCTCCGGAGTTGCTAGGCCCCTCCAGAAGTTTCTTCGACCTTCCGAGCCGCAACAACCTGCCCGAACGTGGGCCGAAGCGATTCAACGATGCATCCAGGCCCAAATTAGAGAGAGAGAGACCACTGTGAGCTCACTATAAGCCCACAGCGGAGTCATTCTCATCGGAAGGTGTCCACACTCATCTTTGACTTTCAGCGACGATTCAATAACCACACACAGCCATTGAGGAAAACCCCATAAATAACTTAATAAAGATAAAAGGTCAAATAATAATCCAAAATTAGAAATTAAATTGAATATTCTTGAAGATACCGAGATGATTTCGCATGGTCAGAAATATTTTCTGAATATTATTGAACATTTTATCAGATCATTCGCTTTATGCCCTAATGTAAGTTCGATACATGCCTCACCAGATGGGAAGAGAGAGGAGCAACCGTTGTATGCACCTCATCCATGATATTACCCATTTTAGACTCTATCAAACGGCTATTAGAAGATCACAAGAAAGGAAAAAAACAAGAATATATTAGAAAATAAATGCTCTCCTCAACGAGAAACAAACAGGATAAATGAAAAATCAAACCAAGGCCTAAAGAACATGAAATAATAAAGGGCGAAAAAAGGGAAAATTATCCCATGAGAAGCTTGGAGCTAAACACTAAATCATAGCATATTTGTAATCTAGGCCCATCTAGCCACATACTCTAGAGGAGATTAATTGGTGCTAATCTTGTTGGGCCCTAAAGCCATTAACTCAAGAGAGAGGAGAGAGGAGAGAGGAGAGAGGAGAGAGGAGAGAGGAGAGATGAGAGAGGAGAGATGAGAGATGAGAGATGAGAGAGGAGAGAAGAGAGATCAACCATTGTATGGCCCTCAAAGGACCATGGTTTTGAAGAGAGGAGTAGGTTCCTATCTAGCTTGCCCCCTTAGGGTCTTGAATCTAGAAGGGATGGGTGAGTTGTCCTTTGGCTTGGCCCTCTAGAGGCATAAATTTGGAAGAGGATTCATGGGTGAGATATTGAGTTGTTTGGAGTCATTAAATCTATTGAACATGGCCAAAGCTTCAATTGGATGTGCATTTCATTAAACACTTAATATAGCTGAAGTGTATGGTGCTTGGAGAGTGGAGTAGGTCAAGTGATTCAATCATTATAAATTGCGTGTGAAATACCATATCTCATTATAAATTCTGGAGTAGGTCAAGGCGGTTGGTTTGAATTGGTTTCCTAGTGTGTTTTAATAGTTTATAGTGATTTGAAATCATGTGTCACCCACATGATTTAATAGGTAAGTATTCAGTAAATGGGTCAAGACATTAATTTAACAAGATGCTGGTATAACTCAATAAACATATGAGATTTATAGTTGTTTCACCTTTCTTTGGCCTGTGTGTCTTTACTTTCCAGGAACTAACTTCAGAAAAATACATGAGAGAAGAAAGAGAGAGAGAGAGAGAGAGAGAGAGAGAGAGAGAGAGAGAGAGAGAGAGAGAGAGAGAGGGAGAGGGAGAGACTCCCCCACTGTGAGCCCACAGCGGAGTTCTTCTCACCGAGGGAGTGTCTAAACTCATCTTTCAGTAAAGTGGAGTCTTCTCTTCTCTCCTCGCACTCTTCTTCCTCCCTCCTCGGCGGCCCCGCTCCCAGCGCCGTACCTCTCCATTCAATGCCCCACCTCTCAACCTCTCTGGTCCTCATCTCCGGCTTGCCGACGTTCTCTCGCAGAATTAAAGCCGCCGTCCGCGTTCGCGGCATAGACTCCCAGCATCGGGGAGCACGGGGACAGAATGAATGGGAAGGGATATCGGCAGAGATCGGCGCGTGGGCGGATGAACATGGCCGTAGCGGTGATGCAGCGGGGGTGAAGAGCAGGGAACAAGAGAAGAATCCTCTCTCTCTCTCTCTCCCTTCCCTCGGAGACAGATGAAAGGATCAATCTTTATGGAATGGGGGGACGCTCCTAAAAGTAGTAGAGCCCATGGGGAGGAGCGCCTGAGGGGCAACATCTTCGATGCCAATGTTTCCGCGACAGAATGGATGGGGAGCCATCACTGCTCTTACTGACTGCACCTCCAGCCGCGGCGAGAATCATTGGCGGCGCCTCCTCCCCCCCGCCGCTGCTCCCGCCGGCACGCAGCAGAGCGCATAAACCAAACCATGGCGACAGCACCGATTGCGCTGCAGAAGTTATTGCTGTCTGTAACAATTGCTGCACCGTTTCGTCTTTAGAGCTTGCCGAGTCAATCAACCACATTGATAGTGACCCTCACTCGGGGGGGATGAAAGAACTTGGTCAAAGGAGTAAATCCGCGGAAAACTACGCAGAAAGACGGAGACTGTTGTTGTGCTTGCCCTGGAACAGTTGAAACGCGGGCATGCAGGCTTGTTGACAATCGAAGATTTCGCCCACATGGCCCAACGGTGCAACCATGTAGACGTGCAGCTTGCTGTTTTGTGAGTGCATGAGTCCAGTACGCCATCGCTAAGAAGAGTTAATACCCATCTTTATTAGGTCAAGGCTCTCTATCTCTATCTCTATCTCTATCCATCTCTTTCTCTCTCTCGTTCTCTCTCTCTATCTCTGTCTCTCTCGCTCTCTCTCTTGTACATATTAGAGTGTATGTGAGTGTGTGAGAGTGTGCGTGCGTGGGGGAGAGAGAGATGCCTGGAAAGCAGGTTGTGTGGCTCTCCCTCCCACTCACATCGGAGATGGGTACTCCGTGGAGACGACCACCTTCATTAAGGCGCATTGAAAGGGGGCCAGACCGGGGGCCAGTGAAGAAGGCGAGGGTCCCTCCAAGCTGCCTCTCTCTTCCGCTTCTCTTTCTCTTCAAGGGGCAGCGGCAAAAGGCCCGGTACTGTAAATGAAAGCCCGCAAAGTCCCACGCCAGTCCGAACCCTCTCACTCTCCCTTCCAGCCATGCGAGAATGAGATAAAATATGGTTCTCTTGACCACGCCTTCCCTGCCCCCCACCAGAACTCTCTCTCTTGTTCTCTCTCTCTCTCTCTCTCTCTCTCTCTATTCCTCCCCTTCACTCACTCCCAGTATATATGTATAGATATATATATATATAATAGTAAGTGTCTCACCCCAAGCATGTCACCACGTCCCGAGGCTGGCTAGTAGTAAGTGGCAGGAGCAGCAGGAGACGCGATGGGTAGCGGCGGAGTTACGCGGAGGGCTCTATTCTCCGCCATGTTCCTGGCTCTGGCATTGTACTGTGGGCTCGACCCTTTGAAGCAGGGCCCCATGGTGGAGTTTCCTGGATTCGAGACCTACAAGGTGGATCTCTGTCCCTGGGAGGATCTCCCACCAGAGCGCGACGTGGAGGACCGGTTGGAGAAGGCGGAGATCAGGTTCAAGGGGCAAGTGCAGGGCCCTGAGAGCATCGCCTTCGACCCTCAAGGAAGAGGCCCCTACACAGGCGTCGCCGACGGGAGGGTCGTCTTCTGGGACGGCAAAAGCTGGTCGGGCTTCGCTTACACGTCCCCCAACCGGTAAGCACAGACAACTGCTCCACTCCAATTCTCCGTTCGTCTTCTTCCTCATCCCTCTCTGATTACGGCTCTTCTTCATTGGGTTCTCACGATCTTCTCCTCCATAGCCCCCTCTCGACTGCATGTATGTGTCTGTATGTATGTATGTCTTCGCCGAATGCGAATAGGAGGAAGAAACGGGGCTCGGTGGAATAGTGTTGATCTCGTGTCTTCTCAATTGATCTGGTAGTGAGCTGGAGGTTTTTCTGGCGAGATTAGCAGTCATTGGTGTTTATGGATCTGATCCTTTGGCTGTCCCTTTCCAGCGGGAGAACCCTCATTGAATGGGCATGTTCTATGGCACCGAATTCACGAGATCGTTCCCTCTGGATCCCGTTTTCCCCATTTCTTTGCATTTCTTTACAGAAACTCATTGAATGAGTGCCCAATGATGTCTCCCAAACTCGTGGGTTTCGCCGATGGGTTTTTAATGCCTCCGCTAAAGCATACGGTCGCCTGAAACCTGTCACTTCCATGCCCACCGGCCTCATTGATATCATATAGTGCCATGCTCTCTCTCTCTCTCTCCCTCTAATGAAGCCTCAGTTAACATCTCTCTCTCTCTCTCTAATGAAGCCTCAGTTTTTAACATGGATCACACCATCCATCTCCTCTCGCTAATGAGTGTCAGGTCGGAGATCTGCGACCCGAAGCCCTCGATCTTCGAATATCTGAAGCACGAGCACGTCTGCGGCCGGCCACTGGGGCTTCGGTTTCACAAGAAGACGGGAGAGCTGTACATCGCCGACGCCTATCTCGGGCTGCTGAAGGTCGGAACCGAAGGGGGTCTGGCCACGCCACTGGCCACCGAGGCTGAGGGCATGCCCTTTAAGTTCACGAACGACCTGGACGTTGACGGAGAAGGGAACGTTTACTTCACGGACACCAGCACCAACTATGAGAGGAGGTTGGTGCACATTCAATGCAAATGCTATGCAATGGCAATGTTTTTCCTCCCCGACGAGAAAGATCGAATCTTTATTTCCTTCGACCGGAAAGATGAACTCTGTGTGCATGAACAGGCATTTTCTGCAGCTGACCACGGCTTCGGAGCCCACCGGCAGGCTCCTCAAGTATGACCCGCGCAAGAAGGAGGCCTCCGTCCTCGTCAGGGACCTCCAGTTCCCCAACGGCGTCTCGCTGAGCAAGGATGAGTCTTTCGTCGCCTTCTGCGAAGGCTCTCTAGGCAGGTCATCCTCTTTGTCTGAATACCTGAGTCTATTGCCCGAGTGAGCATCTCCTGTTCCATCTATCCTCCACTGACTGTGAGAAAGCAAAACAAAAACAAAGCAGGTTGAGCAGGCACTGGCTGAAGGGGGAGAAGGCAGGGAAGACGGAGGTGATAGGCATTCTTCCGGGATTCCCGGACAACGTGAGGACGAACGAGGACGGAGACTTTTGGGTGGCCATCCACGCGCGGCGGGGCCTCTACGGCCATATCTTGGGCCTGCACCCTCGCCTGAGGAAGTTCTTGATGAAGCTGCCCATCCCGGCCAAGTACCACTACCTGCTCAGCATTGGCGGCAGGCTCCACGCCATGGCCATCAAGTACAGCCCCGAGGGGAAAGTCCTGCAGGTGCTGGAGGATCGGAAAGGGAAGGTCGTCAAGATTATCAGCGAGGTGGAGGAGAAGGACGGCAAGCTGTGGATTGGTTCCGTTATCATGCCCTTCATCGCCGTCTACGATCTCAACCTCTCGAGTTAAGCCATTCGAAACGGCGTTTATCAGGCTAAGTTCCAGATCTCATGTAAAATCCCCGCAGAAAAGCCCCGCTCCGGTCAGTAACGGCTCGCCGCAGAGCCTGCGCGTCCCACCAATTTCAATGTTCCTAGTCCTCGTTGCCTCTCGTGAAACAACTTCGTGACTGATTCAGAATTACTTAGCAACGCAGCAAGAACGCCTGCGCGTGTTGTTCGTCGGTTGGAGTGACGAACAACACGCAGCAAGATGACGATACAGCAAGATATCCACAAATTTTACACGTTTCAGCCGAAATAGGGCGGTCAGGTATAGAAGAGAATGCGAGGAGTAGTGAAGCCATTCTCCTTTTACTTTCACCTTTCGGAAGATCATCTCTCTAGATCCAACAGTTTATCACCGCTCAGTCTGGATTGTTTAGGAATAGTGAAGCCATCGTTTTCATCCACGAACCAATCAGCAAGCAATACGGAACTGAACTGAAATCCCCACTACCTGCAATAGCGTACACTCACCAGGTCAACGCAGTCAGATGCAGAAAGACACAGCCAGAAGGGGGAGCCTGCTACGCTACCATTGGTGCCACAGTTCTTTCTAGTCTAGGACATCCGCTCCTTACACCAAGGAATTAACTCTGAATCTAACGTTTTACCACAAAAGCATTTGAAGCCCAAAGTTAGTAGGCTCGTTCAGAGCAAGCCAAGTCCAGCGAGACTAAACAAGGCATAGAGCAGCTATCAGACATCAAGAGTCACGGTGACATGAAAATGCTTTCCAAAACGCTTATTCCGCCAACTTCGGGTAAGCCAGAGAAGGCGATTTTCAGGCAGATAGAAAAAGGAACTTAACCTCCCTGCCCACCCCCCCGCCCCCCCACCAGTCCTGATTGATCTCAATATCTCTGAAGGAGAACCAGATTCTTAGACCAGATGGGTTTGAGAAGAGAGCTCATCAATATAGTCAATCAGAGCATCAAATGGGCAACACCGTAGGAAGCATGGTTTTCGCAGATGCAGTGAGGAAGATTACAGGTGAAGAAAAGGCGAGTCCGAGGTATAATAGCTTGACTGAGAACAGACAGAATGCCAAGCTCATTATATAGCACCTTTTTAACTGATTGAAATATACAGAGTGATGCGACACCACATCTGTGGCACTAGTTCGCAAAGAAAATGTTTAACTCGCAGATTAGTGAGAGTTAGAGGTTTATTTCACTCATGATCTACCAGGGAAACTAATAATTTCAGAAACTGGCATACCATCATGGTCATTTCTGATGTAACTTGCCGATCCATAAAGACAGCTCAATTCGAACCAGAACGCGCAGCAGAGCCTGCTGCCGCATGGGAGCCATCCGAATGAACCTCAGTTTGCCCTGTCCTATCCCCTGGGGTCCCCGGAATCCCCTCCACGCCTTGTGGGAGAGGACTGTGTGCTATGTTGTCTTCTCTTGGATCGGGATCCTCCACCATGTGCGAGACAGACGTGATTCCAGCATGCGCCGCCGTCCTATCATCAGAACCAATATCTGAGATAGAACTGCTTCGTGAAAAAAATCTTTCCCTCCATCCTCTTGTGTTCCTTGTAATGGATTCTTTACATCTGCAACCCAAAGACAACGTATTTGAGCACAACTCTCAAAATGAAATGGGCATAAAAAATCAAATCAGATTACCAAGAATGAAATTAAATTTTTGGTAAGTTGTTCAACCTCAATGAGACTGCATTGAACCGAGATTTTATTGATTCCGAGAGAGATTGCAAGTCTGAGGGCCCTACTCTCTCTTGACTAGCAGCCGTGGGCTGACTTGCAGGATTCCTGCAGGAGAGCCAATCACTGAGACTCTTCGATGCAAAAATGATGGCAAAGTCAAGAACATCCATGCTGCTTTGGTGGGTACCAGTTACTCGAGGGCCCGGGCCCATTGGTAGAGGGGACGTTCGATGGAAATGTCGAGCTAAGAACTTCTACTGGGGCATTGTGAGTAGCCTGGTGAGAAGATTCCTCCCCTTCAGAGAGGCGAGCAGACAAGCCAGCAGGAGCATCTCCTCTATCCGCTGAGACAGCAGAAAGAAGACTAGTAGACGTAGCAGTGGGATGCGCTTGGAAGACCAAAACTTGCTGACGCCCCTGGGCTCCTAGCCTCCTGTGACCCTCCCGTCGAGCTATGCGTCGAGCTCTTCCCATTGCAGCAGCAGCAGCCAGATGCTGGATTATCCGCTCTTCCAGCTCAGCATCACTTCTGCCCAAGGGCAACTGCAGAAAACAACAGTTCAAATTTTTGAAAAAAATGACCCAGCCACAGACACAACAACGAGATGTAACATCTAAGAAGGTGTGAACAAGGTGGTACATGCTGCAACTCAAAGTCTCCAAGAGCAGGGTGATGGAAGATGGCAGTGTTTCTAGACTGATTCAACCTGAAGCTCCTCTCATGTTCTACTGCTTCCAATAATTCTTGGCTGAAAAAATATACTGTCATACAAAATTCGCTGAAGAACAAGAAAATAAAAGCATGTTAACGGAGCACGATGAGTCAATAGACCTCGTAGGATCCTTCAAACTGATGGCCTGCCAACACATTGGGCATTGTGAGCTCCTCTGACACCTGAAAATTACCCAAAACAAACTTCATCATCGCCAAGGAGGATACTTCAAAACAGATAGAGTTTGTTTCTTGTTTTTATAGAAGAAGAGGGAAATAAAACCTGCTTCAATCTGTAATGAACAAAAACATTCGAGACCAACTAGAACCACAACGGCCTTCTATTATTTTTCTAGATATTCCTCCAAGTACTACCTCTGAAAACCGGTGCGGCACCTAGTTACTAGGCCTACAAATATTAGGCGTTCTCAAATAGAAATCCTGGTTTGATCATAGCCTAAAAGATATATATGATGAATCTAAACAAAAACACAGCTCTCCGGTTTGCATACACAATTCAGTAAACTTAAAATATTTTACTAGGCCTTGTAAAATTAGAGATTAGCGAACAGGTTTTTGGCACCATACCATAATGATTACAATCAAAACCAAGGTCTGGCCATAGATCATAGGGCACTGGTATAGAAATGATGGTCATAAATGATATGCCTCTTTTCATTAGGTACAAGATTTAGCAGACTTCAAAGATTTGATTAGGTCCCCGAGTGAATAGACTCGAAAGATCTACATGTAGTATCCATCAGATTCTCAACTACTAACGTGCATTTACTTCTCATGATAAATGATCAACCATGAGTTTCTGGAACCCTAGAGCCTCAGTCGCTAATGTTATTACTCCATGCATTGCATAAAAAAATTCCTTAACTTATGCTCTTGGGAAACTGCCAACAAGATTTTTCTCAACCGTTTGGATTTACTTAGTAAATTCTCATAGGAATTGTTCTACATAGGAAATTTTCTGCTAGGTAAGGAACAGGGAGCTAGAATACCTTGCCAGCTTAAATCTAGTGAGGGTGTTGAGAAAGATGATGGTAAATGAAAGGCCACAGTTCAATGGAGTGTTGTAGAAAAGACGAGTATCCAAGTTCCCTACGTATAAGGAGGATAAGAACCAGTTCTGCACGGAGTTTTGGCATATTACGCTCAATGCACATAGACAGGCGACAGTTGAGTGATCTCTAATTAGATGTGCTTTTCCTAGCGAGGAACAATGCTTCTTGAGTTTTTTCCCATTAGTTGGAGTCAGCTAGATGATGAATGAGAAGATGCAAAGTCAATTCAGAGATTTGCATAACATCACTGATGAAACCCGATTTGGATACCATACAGTCTCATGCAGCCATAATCCCTTTCTAGTTCATGCAGCCGAGGACATGTGTTCTAAGTCTAGAATTTAGTAAGACTGAGAAAGAAGGAAAAAATGCACGGTTGGGACAGCAGAATGTCATCTTCTTTGGGTTATTATTAACCAACTTGTTACCTGACTAATGAAATCACAATAGGTAGTCACACGTGAAGATCAAAAAAAATTTTAAAAAAAAAATCAGAATATGATGAGGGTCTCAATGAAGAAGAATAAGTTCCAATGATCATCATACCTTAATAGCTTAGAATATTATCCGGGATATACTCGGCACCATCCTGCATGTAGAGTTCATGGACATCACCTTAAGGCTAGATAGGTGATGATATATCACCTGTCTCCATTCCTCGGGTTTTGGTTGACCACTTGATTTTTCTATGGTCATCTATGAAGGGCCAAACCTAATGTGAGAATGACAGACAGGAAACCAGAATAAGCACATCACCTTTAGGGATGATTTGAAGTTTTGAATTGGCGCTGACTTAGTCAGTCTGATTGATAGTCTCGACCAAAATGTTCAAAACTCTGCGGTGCAATTGAATTCCCCATTTTACAATTACAATGCAACCGCTGACCAAGTTTCACATTTGATAGCTCATTATATATTCAATCATGCCCTTTAAAATGTGTCCATCTTCACTCCCCAGCTCTGTTAAGAACATCGTCTGATTTCCTCCAGGGATCTTAGAAATGTGATCAACACATCCAAAATGCATGCCACCATCAGAGCTCTCATGGCCAAAGTACACGAAAAGGAAGAAGATTCAGAGAAATAAAGACCGAATCAATGCATGTCCTAAAAGAGGAAGAAAATAACCAGGGCAATCTCCCCCAGAGGCACCCAAAGAGAACATCTCGAACAGTAATACGATGCATGAAATAGTGGAGTGTCCAGCTAGATTTATCCCCACAATGCTCAAATGGTTGGGATCAGTCACAAGGTGAAATAGATATGATCTTTTCCTAAGCAAAAAATTAACAGGAAAGACGCAAATATTCAGCAGGCATCCAGAAAAGAAGAAACTGAACTGGGTATCTTACTGTAGGCATTATCCATGCCGGGTGGTTTATTGAATTCACATATGAGCGAAAGACACGATGAACATGACAGTAAAACAAGAAAGGGAGACACTTTCAAAGAGGGGATATTAATTGACGTCGAGATTGGCGTCCACTGAATGAAGAACAGTCCAACTTCTGTGTAAGGTTCCAGAGACGAAAAACAAAAAAAGGAAGCGTGAAAACATAGGAAGCCAAGATGTACCATTCAAGAATGCACTGGAGATGGAACTCATGCTTGCACCCCGTCACCTGAACGAATGAAATCAGAATGAACTCTATAGAAGCATAATCATGAACTTAAGATAGATACAAGCTTTTAGAAACAGAGTAAAAGAACTGCGACCACAAGAAAATATGCTCGATAACGTACAGTAGAAGGATCACTGTCACTGAAGGCTTCGAGGCATATGCTGCAGGCATCATCACAGGCTTCTTGTATTCCTCCTTCCACAAAAGCAGCCGCAGAAGAGAGGTGGCCCTCAATCTTCGTCGTCTCGTCCATGAACTAATGGGAGACGAGAAAAGAATTTGGCGATCAGAGAGAAGAAGAAACGCCGGCCTGCGTTCGGGCTATAATACCAGCTACGCCAGAAAATGTTGGCACGAGATCGAATCCTGGTCAAGACAAGGAGTCCCGTACGCGATACGTCGCAATGCCTAAGACGGGATTAGACATCCCAAAGGAAGGGTCAAGAACAAACAAGCCAAGATTGAATTTTTGGAGACGAGATATTGACCCATTCAATCCCCATTTTAAGAGAATGACAACCGCATCAAAAACGGCATAAAATAAAAGGGCAAATCAATAGCCTCGATCAATACCAGGGGAGCCCCAACATTACCCGGTGATTCAGTGGGTTTCTAATTCTGTAGTCATTAAACAACAAATGGATGTGGTAGCGTACTGGCGAAGAAATCACGTATGCCCGTGCACCGAGCATGAAGATCAAATCAAGATACCGCCGTCAATCGTGAAAGACGGGGAAGAGCCGATGAAAGACGAATAATCGGGACGTCCCCCACGAACGTCCCTGTTTCGGGCGAAAGTGCCAAAGAATAGGTCTAAACTTCCCTGACAAAGGAGAAAAAAAGGACAGGATTTGCAGTCTCACCAATTGGCGCCAAGCTCAGCGATTGAGCCGGAATTCTCGTGGTGGAGTTTAATCGGGGAATCGCAGGAAAAAGACGAGCAAGAGGATGATGGCAGGGCAGCGGCCGCGAGAATAGACGATGGGTAGAGAAGATGGAGAGGGATGGTTGGGTAAAGGCTCTTCTTCGATCCCCTCCGACACGCACCCAAGACTCCCACCCTTTACACACTCGTCTACCCTAAACCGGATCCTCACCGGGAAAGAGGGCCGAATTAAAAGCTTTGATCAGCCAGGAAAACCAGCTGAATCCCCTCTCCCACCGCCACACACAGGAGAGAGACAGAGACAGACAGAGACGGCGAGAGGGAGAGGGACAGACGACGCGCTCTGGTACACATCGCTCGAGCCTACACAGACTGCGTTTCGTGAGGGGCTCGTACGATCAAAATCCGATCCGGAAAGATCTTGGGATGCAGTGCAACGTATCACTCGGACACGAGTACTTCCTTCGGACAAGATGACGCGATCCAATCCGGCTGACCTGAACAACTTACGGTCAGCGACGATTACGGGCCAAGTTGGTGGGTCCAACTACATTGATGCTTACTTATTCAACCGGGCCGAACCCAAGTCTGGGTACGACTTTCGTTACCCAGGTGTTTTGCATGTATGACACGTCTGTTGGACTAATCGAACAGAAATAAACTCTCTCATTTCACGTAGAATAGATAGTATAAAAAATAGAATATGTGTGGTTTGCATGTAAAATTAAGAACATAATCTGAATTATGCCACCTGAAATCGGAATGAACGAGAGGCGGCTGTAGTTGGGTGGTACCACGCGAAAGCTTAAACCTTAGCGCAGACATTTCAAAACTGGTGGGTACAAATGCCCCATGAGAAAGGCGACACCTAGTTTCCTGATAATTATTGATGTGGGCTATTATTATTATCACTATTTATCTATGATTTATTGCCAAATAGTTTGTCCGTTGGTTTTTCTCATCGATTGGGCCTTTCAAGAGTCCCTAATGTCTTGCTGTTTTCTAGCCAACTGCCCGAGCTGAGGATTAAATGGAGAACTATTACAGGTCTTGACGGACTAACATCTGAGAAGAATCTTCACGTGAGGGACGTCCCATCTAGATTCGGTGTTGAGGTCGCGAGCTTTCACGTGGACGAAACGAAAGTTGCACGCCTTTAGGTCATACCATTTCACCATGATAATAGTCGGAGCTGATCGTGTACGATAGAGATGTTGGCGGGAAGTGTTCACCGGAGTACGTACCATCTTACTTGGAGTTCGCATTTGGTCCAAGTATGAAGTAAACACCGCCGTGGACGACGAGGGGCCAACACAAGATGGAGGCTAAAAATAAGAGTAGCATCCCCTCGATCTAGAACGGAGAAGTTACGCTAGCTCACATTTGTGACCCGGTGAAGGGAGATCTCTCTCATGCATGGGAAATGAGCGATTTAAGCCAAGAATGGGGATAGCCTACATTTTAGCCTAGAAGAGGGGCCACTGCGACTCTATTGGCTGGTTTCATGGGCTGCTGTCACTGCTCTCGTCTTGGGATTGAGCTCTACTTTGCAGGCCGGCTGTGCTAGCAAATGCAGTGGTGCGCATGAACGATACTCACTATGGCTGCAATCGCGATGCCCAAACAGCTGATCTGCGACACAAGGGTGTATACTCAATAGGTAATGGGAACTGATGGGATTTGTGGAGAGATGCGAGGGGTGGGAGGAAGAACCGGAGACGGGAATAGAAATGCACCGATGAAAGGATCTCTCACCGGAAGTGAGTCAAGGCCTCTCACCTCTGAGCTCTCTCAGAGCTACTAGCTGCACATTACACCTCTTTATCTCTTCAACTTCTCATTTCCACGGTGGAAACTTTATTTCATGAAATGCACGAGATGAGGATAGGACAGACGCGATATATGTTTCTTTTTTTCCAACACATTCCACCCATTTGGAGAGTAATTTTGATCAGAGTCATAGATATTTGCTCTGAAATTTTCTCTAATAAGGCAGGCGCTGATATTAGGCCTTTATTACTTATTACAAAGAGATTAGTTGATTATTTGAGGTTTACAAGACCAAATCAGTGCACTATCCGCTCTATCTTATGACACGAGATAAGGCGTCGCTAAAGACAAGCATAGAGAAATTTAAGATTTGATCATCAACATCTCATGAAAGGCATCATGAACAATTGAAGCATTTAGTTTGATGTTTATTAATTTATTTTCAGGTAGCTAGTAAATGAACTGAAACGTTTACAGAATGAAGGATGATCATACCCAAGGTGACCTCTAAGACAACGTTCTTGAGAAGGATTGTTAAGAAATTCACCTAAGAAAGATTCCATTAACGACTATCTGCCAATTCATTTGATGATGCTATTTTCTTGATCAAAACTAATGGAAGTCTTAGCTTTTCACTATTCTGTTGAAATCTCTCATTTTTGGATCCCAAGAAGAATACTTCACTTTCTTTTTCAATACACTTTCATTCCAAGAATGGAAATGTCTGTAAAATTAATGGTAATCAAGTATTCTTTCTCCTTATTGTACTCAAAGGAGAATCCACTAATTAACCCATTTTGCCTTCAATACAAGAAAATCATGATTACTATTTTATCATCATTACCGTGTGAGAGTTTTATCACACGAATTTTTCTACATTTTCACTTAGACCTCAAAACTAACCATGGTTTGAATAATTGTTTTGTTCTAAGACTAAGAAAAAGAACCAAGGGGGGCTGAATTGGGATTTCATAGGCTGCTAATTTTAGGTTTTGCACTACACTATAGAACTCAAGTGAGTCAACTTGTAACCTGAAAATACTAAGAAATGAAATCAAAGATTTATAGCAGCTAGGACCCCACACTAGCAGTGCCAACATTACATATTAGAATAATCTATTGAATATCAAGGCTTCCATTATCTCCCGTAGATTCAAGACTCTAGGTGGGGCCAACACTTGTTAAAATACTTCTAGATTTTGGCTCTAAGTTGGCTTGAATATACACTTGTACTATTGATTTGTGAAGAAAGAATGTTTATAACAATTTGTCTATAATTTCCTTTATTGAGTCCCTGCTTAGCTAGAATTACGGATAATAGGGGGGTGAATTGATCATTGATGCATTAATTGTCCCTTTTCCTTTCCTATGTCTCTAAATTACCTTAGAAAAATCTAATATGATTTAAGAAAAAAAATAAAGAAATAAGATTTCATTAACCTATCAAAAAGATATATTGCAATTTTTTGACTTACCATATGCTCTCCATGCTCTCTCACTAAGAAAATAAGTTTTTATATTTTGACAATCACATCTAGTGTGAGACAGAACTTTCCTCTAATCTCCTTAGTGGGCCATAAATATTGTGTTAGAAGATAACCAAAATTTAATAATTTGTAAACTGAATTCAAAAGATCTTTTAAACAATAAAGTTAGTGGATTCATCTCTAGATAGATGAAAGACAAAAATATATTTTTACTTTGTTCTCAACACTTTTTGAAAGTTAAACACTTGAAAAGTAAAGATAGAAAATGAATGATTTTTCTAATCACAAAGTTTTCATAGCTGCATTTTGTTGTCTCTATTGACTTTTCAAATGGAAGAGATGTTATTTTGATGTCTTGATTCCTTAGATCATCTTTAATTTGTGCTAATTCAAGAATTCCACAAGAACGATCTAGACAAACCAAAGAAACAAAAGAAAAGGAGAGAAAAATATGATAGCAAATTTTCCTCTTAGATGAAACATGGAATAGCTGATCAATAGCTCAAAAACTAAAAAAATATTAGAAAAAAGATTCTAACATGTGATTGATACTACCATTCATACCACCTCACATGATAGAATCAAATAATAACTTGAAACGAAATACATAAGTTGAAAATTCATACAAAACAAAAGCAGAAAAATATGAGGAATCATGTTGCAACTCCATCATCATATATTGGAGGAGAAATCAAGTCATGAAATCAATTAAGGAACTTCAAAAAATTAGAATCAAGATAGGAAGTACTAAAAAAATCAAGAAATTAAAAGCACAAAATTTTACTTTAGAAAATTAGACTGCCCATACTATTTTGTGTCATTGTAGCGAAGACAAGGTTCTCTCCCTAAGAAAAGTGAAAAGCTGCAACCAGTACAGAGAGATCCCATTTTTTCCTAATATTTTCCCTTTTATATAGGCCAAGAAGGCACGAATGTGTTACCTTAAATCTCTAGCAAACAGTCTAAAACATTTGATCTAATATAGGAAGGATTCAAAAGTAGCAACATGTTTTTGCTTTTCATTTTTTTGGACTTACAATTTTTATTTAGTTGATTTGACTTTAATGACTGACACATGAGCTTGCTGACCAGTTAAAATCATGGTTTACA